AATATTATCTATAGATATAGTATTTCCAAAGGTAGCTTCAATAATAGATCCATTATAAATCATTTCACAGGGGATTTCAATAATATCCATTCCTAAATGAAAACTGCTATCAAGTTTGCCATCTCCAAGTTTACTAACCATCCACTATAAGCAGAATCCTCTGATCTCATATTTGTTGTAAGAGACAACTTTCTGAAACATTGCAGTACTGTAAACTCATTTGTACTATGGCTGATTGCATAGCATGTGGTACAATACTGAGACATTGTCGAAAATCCCCTCCAAGAAGGAGAACTTTCCCACCAAATACAACATTCAAATTCATAATTTCTCTTAGTAATCTGTCTATGGCGTTTATAGCATGACTGGATGCCATGGTGCATTCATCAATAATGAGAAGTTGGGCCTTTTTAATAGTTTTAGCAACTTCACTGTTTATATCGAGTCTAGAAATTGAAGTTTCATTTAATGGAATCGGTAATTTATATGGGGAATGAAAGGTGCTTCCACCGAGAAGTAAATTTGCAGCAAATCCTGTAGACGCTGTGGGTAAAACTACCACCACGACCTCTAATATAATATATTAAAACTTTATAAAGATATGCCTCCACGTTCTGAGGGCCGGTTCCTGCCTCAAACCTCGCCCTTACCGGGAACAGCTCAGGGAGAGCGCAGTCTTGGCAAAGCGACCCAGGACTCAGTGCGGCCACGCTCCGAGGGCTGGTTCCTGCCTCAAACCTCGCCCTTACCGGAAACAGCTTGTGGGGGGGGGGCGCAACTGTTGCTAAGAGGACCCAGGACTCAGTGGGTCCACACTCCGAGGGCCAGTTCCTGCCTCAAACCTCGCCCTCGCCAGAAACAGCTCCGGGAAACAGCTCGGGGAGGGCACAGCCGTTGCCAAGACAACCCCTTCAGGACTGACTTCCTTCCGGTTGGTCGAGCTTTGGTCGGTTGTGATGTTACACCCAGGGTTTTTATATAAATAGATTTGCTAGTGTTTTGTTTAGGATTTTTGCATCTGTATTCATCAGAGATATTGGTCTATAATTTGTGTGTGTGGTATCCTTGCCAGATTTTCGAATCAGAGTAATATTTTTAGATTCATAAAATGAGGTAGGAATTTTTGCCTCTTTTCCAAATTTTTGGAAGTGTATGAGGAGGATATGTAATAAATCTTCTTTGAATGTTTGGTGGAATTCACTAGTGAAGCCATCTAGTCATAGACTTTTATTTTCGGACAGTTTTTGATGACTGTTTTAATTCATTCTGTTTAGAATTTCCAGTTCTTCATGATTCAGTCTAGGAAGTTTATATAGTCCCAAGAACTTGTCCATTTATTCTAGGTTATTGAATTTGATGACGTACAGCCTTTCGTGGTATGCTTGTATAGTCTTTTGTATTTCTGTAGTGTCTGTTGTAACTTCTCTTTCATTTATGATTTTGTTTGTTTGAGACTTTTCTCTTTTGTCAGTGATTTTTGCATCTATAGTTAGAGGTTTGTCGATTTTATTAATTCTTTTAAAGAATCAGTTCTTGCATTATTTTTCTATTGTCTTTTGTTTTCTGTTTAATTCTGCTCTAATTTTTATTTCCTTACTTCTACTGGCTTCCAGCTTTGTTATTTTTCTATTCCTTTAAGGTGAAATGTTAGGTTGTTTATTTGAGATTTTTCTTGTTTCTTGTGGTAGGCCTGTAATGCTATAAACTTTTATTACTGCTTTTGCTCCATCCCCCAAATTTTGATATTTCCTATTGTCATTCTCATTTGACTCTGTGTATCTTTTGAGCTCTCCTTTTATTTCTTCTTTTACCCAGTAGTTGTTTAGTATCATGTTGTTTAATGTCCACATGTTTGTGGTTTTCTCAGCTTCCTTTTAGCAGTTGATTTCCAGTTTCAAATTGTTATTGTCAGAGAATATGCTTGGTATAATTTCAATCTTCTTAAATTTGTTGAAATTAGTTTCGTGCCCCAACATAATATAGTCGGTCTATCCTTGAGAATGTTCTCTGTGCACTAGAGAAGAATGTATAATCTGGTGTTCTGGGATGAAAAGCTCTGTAAATATTGATTATGTTCATTTGGTTTAATGTGTTATTTAAAGCTGTTTTGATTTTCTGTTTGGATGATCTATCCATTGTTCTCAGTGGGGTTTTAGTTCCCCTATTGTAATTGTATTTTTGTCAGTTTCTCCCTTTAGTTCTGTTAGTAGTTGCTTTATATATTTTGGTGCTTCCAGGTTGAATGCATATTTATTAATAAACATTATGTCTTCTTGATGTATTGTCTCCTTCATCTTTATACAATGTCCATCTTTGTCTCTTGTTACCTTTTTTATCTTGAAATCTATTTTGTCTGACATAATTATGGCTATACCTGCTTTCTTCTGGATGCCATTTGCTTGAGTATCATCTTGCACCCCTTCTCTTTGAATCTATGTTTGTCTTTGCAGTTGAAATGTGTCTCCTAAAAACAGCAAGCATATATAGTTGGGTGTTTTTAAAAAACAAAACAAAACAAAACAAACCATCCCACTACTCTGTGCCTTTTAATTGGTGAGTTCAGTCCATTTACATTTAGGGTGATTATGGATGTATGAAGCTATCCTATCTCCATTTTATCTTTTGTTTTCTGGTAGTTCTGTGTCTCCATTGTTTTTTTTTATCCTTGTGTTCCTGTTATTCTATGATTTTGTCCTCTGTTTCCTCTCTTTTTACGTTATGTGTCTCAGTTCTGGATTTTTTAAAATGTATTTTTTATTGATTTCGGAGAGGAAGGGAGAGGGAAAGAGAAACATCAATGATGAGAATCATTGATCGGCTGCTTCCTGCACACCCCCCTACTGGGGATCGAGTCCACAACCAGAGCATGTCCCCTTGACCGGAATCAAACCTGGGACCCTTCAGTCTGTGGGCTAATGCTCTATCCACTGAGCCAAACCAGCTAGAGCTCAGTTCTAGATTTTTACTGAGTTCTTCAGATTAAAAATTTCTGATTGGTTCTTTTTTTATAGTTTCAGGCTCTTTGGTGAGGGACTCTTTTTATCTGTTGATTTTATTTCTGTGCTCTTTGAATTACTCCTCTGAGTTTTCTTGTATCTCGTTGAGATTTTTCAGAACTGCAATCTTGAATTCTCTGTCACTTAAATCATAGACTTCCAAGTCTTTAAGTTTATTTTCTGGAGATTTTTCATTTTCTTTCTGAACTTCTTTGTTACCTTGATTATTTGTTGTGATTGATAGATTATTTTTCTGCCTTGGAATTTATGAAATCTTTTTTTTTTTTTTTTAAGTATTTTACTCTTCACTGTTTAGCAGCAGGTTGATAAGTAGATGTCTTTCTTTTGTTTTCCAGAAGGTGGTGCTGAAGCACAAGTTTTAATTTTTTCTTACCTGTCTTTAGGGTTATCTATAGGGTAGTGTGGCCTTGGCTGTGAAAAAGCCCATATTTCTGAGGAGGTGGGCGATGCCCTTATGAAGTGGTTGCCCTGGTCTCCAGGTACCACCCCTGTGGTGGGATGTGATGGGTCTCCATAAGTCTCTTGGCCTTGTTTCCACTGCCTTCGAGAAGTTGCAGGCGGAGCCTATCTGAGTGGACAAGGCTACTACCAGGGCCTACAGGATTTGTGGGGGAGCATCTGGAGGGGGAAATAGGTTCAGGTATCTATGGCTTTTTTCTTTTTGATGGGTTTAGCTGCAATGAGCATAAGACCACTTAGACTGGAAAGTTTTTCCTGACCTTTGGTGATCTGCCGAGTGAGGATTTTACTGCTGGCAGGCCAGAGGAGGACCAGTGGGCAGGTTCCTGAATCTGGAATCCTCTGTCTGATGATGATGGGTTTGGAGTGCTGCCACCTGTTGCACTGTTTCTCTGCCCCGACCCTGGGCTCATCCTCATGTGTGCTGGCCTAGCCTCAATTGCTGTCTCTGCCTTTTCAGTGTGCCCTGTGGGAGCCCCTCCCACCATCACCCTTCACTGGTAGTGTGTCAGCTGGGGCCCTGCAAGTGCCTGATTGGGTCTGCAACTCTTATCTTTATCCTTCCCCATCCTGTCTCCCCTGTTCACCTGATACGCTCACCATGGTCAGATGTCTCAATGCATGGATCTTTCAGGTGTGTTTATGTGTTGAGCAGAGAAATGGTCATTTGTTGATTATAGCTGTCCATTCTGTTGTAACGTCATAGGACTCTATAAATTGTAATTCACTAGGGGATTTACCACTGTAAATCCTTTCTCAATGAGGTATTATATGCTTTTGTCTACGTATTTTATTTATTTTCTTTTTTTTGTATGTTTTTATTGATTTCAGAAAGGAAAGAGAAGGAAGAGAGAGATAGAAACATCAATGATAAGAGAAAAACATTTATCAGCTGCCTCCTGCACGCCCCCTACTGGAGAGCAAGCCCGCAACCCAGACATATGCCCTGAATCTAATTGTGACCTCCTAGTTCATGGGTTGATGCTCAACCACTGAGCCGCACCAGCTAGGCTGTCTACATATTTAAAATTTTTTATTCCATTTTTTAGTACTTAACAATTTGCGACTCCTTTTTAAAGTAGCATTTAATTGTTTGCAGTTAAAAATACATAAACTTGTGCAACCTGAAGATAATTCTTATGTAAAATGTGCTGTGGAAGAGGGAAGGGCCTTTTAAAAACTACTAAGTGAGAACAAAGAGGAAGCAAATTGCAAATAGACTGTTTACCAATCAGGTGGAATAAAATTCCTGCCTTAAAGTAGGGCACAACAGTTGCTACAGTGACTCGTGCTATAGCCAGACCGTGGAAGGATCCCGTGAAGTGGCCTCTTGTCTCCAGGCCTGTGAGCTTCGGCCCTGATGGGACCGGGGCTTCAGAGTCACGGCCACCAAGGGTTCCTGCCCTTGGTTTTCCTTCACTGCTGTGTGTTGTACATAAAGGCTGTGACCGTTCCTGTGTGACAGTCCCAGATAATGGTTCCAAATATAAATTAATGTCCTAAATTAAGCTTTTTAGAAGGAATGGATGTGATGTGATGTGATGTTCTTTGTCTTGTAGCATGTTTTCATTTTAATCTGTACATGGCTTGTGTTTTGGTAACTGGCTTTATTGTAGTTGAAGCTTTTAAAACAAAGGGTGTATTTCACATAATTTAATCAACACTTGTTTACTCTCATCCTTTTGTATTTCTCCCACTTTTAGCACAGACTGGCCACTCAGCTCTCCCAGTCCAGTGGATGCACCATCGGTTAAAATACGCAGAATGGATCCTTTCTCTACAAAGGAACATATTGAAATCATAGCTCCTTCGCCACAAAGAAGCAGGTCTTTTTCAGTAGGGATTTCCTGTGGTCAGACAAGTTCATCTGAGAGCAACTTCTCTCCACTGGAATTTTCAGGACTAGGCCTTGGAGACACCAGTGCGTCAGTGGGTGCAGTGCACAACCTCCAGGACAGCTGCCTCACAGACTGTGATGTGGAAGATGGCACAATGGAAGGCAGTGAAGAGGGGCACTCCTTTGAACTTTGTCCCTCTGAAGCTTCTCCTTATGTAAAGTCCAGGGAGAGAACCTCCTCTTCCATAGTATTTGAAGATTCAGGCTGTGATAATGCATCCAGTAAAGAAGAGCCCAAAGCTAACCAACTGCACATTGGCAACCATTATGCTAATAAACTAACTGCTGCCAAGCATTCCAGTAGCAAATCTTCGGAACCTAGTTTGTCTATTTCTCTTCCAAGACCAACCACTTTAAGTCTAGATCTCACTAAAAACACTGCAGAAAAGCTGCAGCCCAGTTCCCCAAAGGTGTATCTTTACATTCAGATGCAGCTGTGCAGAAAAGAGAATCTAAAGGACTGGATGAACAGCCGGTGCAGCATGGAGGAAAGAGGGTGGGACACGTGCCTGCACATCTTCCTGCAGATCGCAGAGGCGGTGGAGTTCCTGCACAGTAAGGGGCTCATGCACAGGGACCTCAAGGTTGGTACTATGGAACCTCACCCACGGGTTTCAAGCTGACGTTTTATGCAGTACTTGCAGTACTTGTCACTTTTTAATGGAAGTACCCTAAGAGTGGAGGAGAGTGAAGGCATTGGGAGCAGAGATCTGGAAACGTAAAAATAAGAAATCTCATGATTTAAAAAACTCAGGCAGGCCCTATGGTTGAGCATCGACCTATGAACCAGGAGGTCGTGGTTCGATTCCTGATCAGGGCACATACCCAGGTTGCAAGCTTGATCTCTTTTCTCTCTCTCCCTCTCCCTTCCTCTCTGAAATCAATAAAATTATATTTAAAAAATAAAAAAGATCTCAGGCAAATCATGAATTCTCCTTTATAATATGTTTATGTTTGTTTTGCAGTAAAAAGCATTCCCAATCTTCTGAAGAAAAAATATCTTATGTAAAATTCAATACCATTGTCTATGGCTTTCAGTAACCCTGGCACAGATTCCCGTAGTGTCCTGAAGTAGCACACTGAAAGGGCTCAAGTGGAAGGAGAGACAGAGGTCCCTTCATTAGCCCGCTCTGAGTTAGGGCCAGTTGCCATTCTTTTTGCCCCTTTTCCTGAGATGTTTAGGTTTTGGGGAAGGAGGTGAGAAGCTGGATGATAAAAGGTGGCGAATGGTTAGCCACATGATGTTTGCAGCTCTAACACCTTTGATTCTATTTCAGTAATGAGTATTGTAGCCATGCAGTATGCTGCATTACCAAAGATTCCTACTAGAACATGCAGTGTGTCTTCAGTGTGTGCTTCTGAAATACCTCTATGGAACTTTTAGTAACTAATTTCTGCCATATTCCATATGCTCATAGTGATCATCATAGTAAACATAGATGTGTAGTGAATACATAAATATTTTTCTGATGGAAGTTGCTTAAATTCTTGAGATTTGGACTCATTTTAGGTATTTTCGGTTTTGTTTTATGTAACCACAAACTTGTTTCAGGCACCAAAGTAGCTATTTGGATGAGTAATTTTCTTTTTAAAGTCAGCAGTGGGTTTTTAAATCTTTGAATATATTTTTAAGAGTTTGGAATAATAGGAACTCAAATTAGAAATAATTCCTATTTTCTAAAGTAATTGTTGTTGAATTATACCTAATCAGCACACTCTGGATGTGGCCAGAACTAATTGCCAGGAATCATTCTGCATGAGTGAGAAGTTCAGAGATGGTTGGTTTTGGTCGGAAGGGAGAAGACAACTTCCATGAGGTTAGATGCCCCTAACTTGAGTGAGTGTTGGCTATTGGAATATGGGTACAGTTTTATCATTTGGTAGGAACTGGTTATCTAATGTGCACATTCTTCTTGTACTGAACACTTACTGTACAACCGAAATGTTACGTTGAAAGCCATGTAATTATGTTCTTACTAATTTTGAATATTCTGCTGATTTTACAGTGTTATGAGATACTAGAGGCCCGGTGCACGAAATTTGTGCACTTGGTCGTGGTGAGCCCTCAGCCCAGCCTGTGCCCTCTTGCAGTCCGGGAGCCCTCAAGGGATGTCCGACTGATGGCTTAGGCCCGCTCGTGGGCCCAAGCTGGCAGTTGGACATCCTTAGTGCTGCGGAGGCGAGAGAGGCTCCCGCCACTGTCGCTGCACTTGCCAGCCATGAACCCGGTTTCTGGCTGAGCAGCGCTCCCCTTGTGGGAGTGCACTGGCTATCAGCGGGCAGCTCCTGTGTTGAGCGTCTGCCCCCTGGTGGTCAGTGCGCATCATAGCGAGCAGTTGTTCTGCCGTTCGGTCGATTTGCATATTAGGCTTTTATTATATAGGATTGGTGAATATTTGTTTAATGCTACAATGTTGTCTAAAGGTTTTTCTTGTATTTCTTTGTGCACTAAAAAAATTTCAAGAAAATTAATTTTCTCAAGTTTTTCTAGATATCAAAAAAAGTATTCTTTTGTAAAGATGAATTTCTCTTAAATATTTCTAGTGAACCAGAAAGAAATTCTCCCAATAATTTTATTCTTAGTCAAAAAGCTCTGTGTCCTGTCCATTCTGACCTAAGTCTTTGAGCTCACTGTGAAACCTCCTAAGCCCTCTCCCCTTTTTATATTTTGGTCACATTTTTGTCACCAGCGCTCTCTGGCCCCTGATTCTTCCAACTGACTTCTAATCTTCTCTTTACTCAAGTTGCACTGGGTTTTTCTCAGTTGCTTAAATACACAGTGTTCTCACAGAACCTGGTGTTTCTCCTTTATAATCCTCATCACAGTTGTATTATTTATCCCCTGGTTTCCACAGGGGCAGAAGCCATGTCTTTTTCACCTATTAATTCCTTAGCACAATGCCTGATGCATTCTATATGCTCATATAACTTTTTTTTATTATTCTCTTGTTTGCAATCAAAAGCACTTATAACAATTTAATCAGAAATGAAATGTATTGGCTCATGTAACTGAACTGTCCAAGATTCAAGTAAAGTTTCAGTGATGTGGCCAGAATACGGTCTTCCCTCTCCTTGCCCTGTTTCTTGTTTCCACTTTCAGGCAGGCTTTCCCTTCACACTCTCAGGACAGCTGCCACTATTAGCAGGACTACACATTTTAAGTCTTTTGGAGTGATGAGATAGGGCGTGGGAGGAAAGTATCCCTCTTCCCTACCATTGACCAGAAGTCCTGAGTTTCCTCCTAACTGAAAAGTCAAGGACATATACCCATTCCTAAACCAGTATCCTGGTCAGGGGATAGGATTATGCTGATGGTTTATGCATCCTCGGGATGTGCAGCCATGGGTTGCTGCACAGTTGGGAAGGGTTCCTGAAGTCGAGTCAGGATGCTTCTGGTGAAGTTCAGGGGGATAGATGCTGGAGAGCCTAAAAATTAAAAAAAAGGAAGTCTATTATGGTGTTCAGTAATAACACCAGATGATGGGAGGACAGGAGCAGTAAAATTTAAGGCAGCTCTCTCACAAGGTTATTTGTGGGCGAGCAGGAGGTTATTACCATAGATTTTGTTATGTGCAATAACGTCATTGCTTCAAAGTCACAACTGTCTAATAGCATTTTAGAGTTTGGGAATAAAGTGTTACTTGTCTGGCAGGATTTGAAGCCTGAGGAAATAAAATTTCCTGAGCTAAGTGGCTATCTTTCCCTCATTTTAAGGCTCTAAATGGTGATCCTGTTAGCAGGGGTGAGAGTAGGCTCTGAAGGAAGATGATAGAGTTCATGTAGCGGACTTGAGTTTAAGGACCATGAGAAACTTGGTTAGCTCTCTCTCTTCAACAGTTGCATGTGAGAGTTTATAACTCAGACCAGCAGCCTTGGAATACATGAGAGCATGTGGATATTAGAAGAGGCAGCATTGGTTGCAATTAAGAGCTCTTATTCTCTGTGATAGCCTGCTTTTTCCCTCTTGGACATAAACCCAAAATCAGTCTGTTTTATTCATTTATCAAACAGTAGGGATTAGCTACCATAAGGCACATGCTATGCTAAATGCTGGACCTATGGTATTGAAGCAGACATCCTCTTCTCATGGAACCAGACTGCCTGAGTTTGAATCCCTGCTCCACCACTTACTACCTGGATAACATTGGGCAGTTTACCTAACTTCTCTGGGCCTCAGTTTGCACGTCTATAAAATGAAAGACTAATAGAACTAATAGGGCTGTGAGTATTGCATGAGTTAATAGAAGTAACCAGCTTAGACTGGCTCCTGACATATTTTAAGTGCTATATATGCATTTGATAGTATTGTTACTATTATTATAGTCATCACTTCAGTTATAAATGTAGAGAAGCTTGCCAGGGGGAGAATATATAGAATAATAAGACTGAGCATTAAATACCTTGGGCCCTAGGTAATGTGAGTCTCTAAGTGTTTAAGTAGATGCTGTTTGCTCATTCATGTGCTAAATGGCTAAATGTAAATGCTGATCCCCGTGCTAGCTTTTCTTTACTCACAGCACTTGTCCAGTATGGAATGATCAGTGGTATTTTCATATCAATTCATTTTAAAGGGAAACATACCTGAGAATATCTAGTTTCTTGTATTTATTTTCTGTTGTCATTTTAATAAATTCCCTTCACTTTCCTTTTCTGTATACATCCATTGTGCTTTTATCTGTTTTATTTTTTTCCAGCCTTCCAACATATTCTTTACAATGGACGACGTGGTCAAGGTTGGAGACTTTGGATTAGTGACAGCAATGGACCAGGACGAGGAAGAGCCGATGGTTCTGACCCCAATGCCAGCGTATGCCCGGCACACGGGACAAGTGGGGACCAAACTGTATATGAGCCCAGAACAGGTGAGTGTTTTTGTTTTTCTTCTTAATTAAAAACATATTTTTAGTTAGTATGACAGCAAGCTAGATATGTCCCATGAATCTCCATCTATGTTCTACTTAAAATACCCAATAAAATGAAATCTGAAAAGTTTGAAAACTGGTAGTAGAGTTCCACACGCAGTACAGCTAGGGGACAGTTTCTACAACTTGCACTGGGGATGGATTAAAAACAAACACAATGCGTAAAACATGCTCACCCTTTAAACCATAACCTAACAGCAACCAGAAATTTATAGAGACTTTGAACCCCTCCCATACTTAACTCCAGTTCACCTTGTGTAAATGGTGTAGGAACTGTTTTCAAATAAATTAGAGCCAGAGGTACTGTACTGAGCTGTCCTCTATAGTAATTCACAGGCAACTGCCAGAATGTACTGTGGCAGGAGATAAAGGCTGGAATATCTTGTCCGTGGATGCTGAGTCTCCCACAGAACAGGACAGGACAGAGCCTGGAAGAGTGGTGGGAGCAGACTGTCCTGAGGGGCTTCAGAATAGCATGCCCAGTCACCACCAGGATAATGATATTCACAAGCTTATTTATGCTTAAATCAGCCATTCTCAAATTTTGTGGTCTCAGTGTTGTGGGTGGGAAACAGGGATTTCGAGAAAAGCATTTTAAGGACCCATGCAGGGGAGATTGTGGTGTGGCAGGATGGTTTTTTATTCTGATGCAAAATCAAAAGAGTTCCCCTCCTGGCTTCCCCATGTCCCACCTGCCTCCATCCTACCATGGTAAAAGTCCCACCATGTCTTCAGCAGGACCAAAACAAAAGCCAGTGCCCAGAGTTTCTGCTTCATAGTCCTTTGGAGCCCAGGCAGTCTGCAGCAGGCCCCAGGTGGCCACTAGAAACGCATAGTTGTGTGCTCTCTGAGGGAAGAGATGCAAACAAATGGGGTGAATGTGGGTCACAGAGAGAGAGAGAGAGAGAGCGCGCGCGCGAGCGAGAGCGAGAACAGGATCTATTGAAGCAAACAGTTGGGATTTTAACCAGGAACTTTTTCAACTTTCTAAGATTTCCAGGCTTCTGATGGGTCCAATGATCCCTTTCCCAGGTTAGATTGACAGGCGTCGAGGAACAAGCATCTCCCCCTGCACCTTTTTGACTTCATTGCATATGTGCTTATCTCCCCCTGTTCCCCCTCCATATACAATCCAGTACCGGAGGAGAGAAGGGAGGGATGTTAATCTCCTTGGAAGGACAATGCTACAATTCCTTGGGGTGTGAAGCTGTAGCTTCCTATTGAAGCAAACAGGCTCATGCTTCCCAGTTGACCATGCTTACCAATGTCTGACTTCGCTTGTTCTCTTCCTATTAATAACTATCTAATGATGGTAGCATCAGTACCTGTTTATACATGTAAATATGATTGAAAACCCGAGTTTTTCTTAATGGGATTTTATTTATCAGTATTTGCCGTATTCGAGATTAAAACTGAAAAATGTATAAAATTTATTAATTTAATAATATTAAACCTATCTTATCCCAAAAATATTTTTATGATATTTCCCAAAACAAAAAAGCATTGTTGAGAAGAGTGGCATTTGTTTACATTTTAACAGATCTCTTTAATATCTGACTTAAAAGAGCTAGATTCTCCTATCTGCCTTGCATTCAGTTTGTTGCAATATGTTATTTTGTGTGAAGTGAAGGAAGAAAATCTGACCTCATACAGATATGTAGTTGGAAAGGGAGGGATGTTTTAATAGCATTTTCAGGGAATTGTGGTTATTCCTGTTAGATAGTACATCAGAATTCAATAAGTGATAGTTTCTTAAAAGTCATTTGCCCTATGGAATCTAAAACTATATTATTGAACTTTTTTACTCTGTCAATTTAATATCCTTCGTTCATTTTGCACTTTTTAAAAAATCCTCAACTGAGGATTTAGAGAGGAAGTGAAAGGGAGGGAGGGAGGGAGGGAGGGAGAGAGAGAGAGAGAGAGAGACAGAGAGAGAGAGAGAGAGAGAGAGAAAAAAGCATTGATGTGAGAGAAACATTGATCAGTTTCCTCCCACACATGCCCTGACTGGGGATCAAACTCACAACTGAGGTATGTGCCCTGACTGGGAATTGAACCCATGACCCTTCGGTGCACGGGATGATGCTCCAATCAACTGAGACACACTAGTCAGGGCTCATTTTGCCCTTTGAATGGATCTTTTACCCATGCAGGGAAGCTAGATGAAAAATATTTATTTATAGTTGGTATCTGAACATCCTAATATATAAAGAGCCAGGGTCCGTCACGACCGAACAGACGACCAAACAGGAGGCTGCCTGGGGCGACCAGGCCGGTGGGGGTGGCGGGGGGGCAGTGAGGGATGACCAAATGACTGGGCCCTGGGATCTCTGGGAGCGGCGGAATACTGGGTCTGCTGCGATTGAAGGCGTGGCGGGCCTTCAAACCCGGGGCCCAGAACTCCCTGTCCCCTCCTGGGCGGGCACGTGGTAGGAGGCGGGAGGAGGGAGGCGGGCGTCAGCCTGGGTCCCACACGCCAAGAAACTTTGTCAGACTTGCTTGGTGCTGGGACTGGATGCATCCGAGCTCACAGCAGGCCCCGGGGAGGTTCCTGGTGGCCGAGGGTGCAGAGCTGGAGTGTGGGTTTGTGGGTATGTGCATGAGCGTGGACCTGAGCGACAGACACACACTCACACGCCCGCACCCACACAGGGCCCTCGGCCGTGCCACCCACGCCTCCCTGGACTTCACCCTCCAGCCTGGATCCTTCTGGTCCCGCACCCGGCGGCCTGTCCCTGCCTAACGTTTCTCAGTAACACAGCATGCGGGATTCGGGAGTTAGGACTGGGAGTGACGGCTTGGTCTCCCCACCATCCGCTTTCCCCGCCTTCCCAGGGAAGGGGACAGGGGGCTTGGTCTCCCCACCATCCGCTTTCCCCGCCCTCCCAGGGAAGGGGACAGGGAAGGACACTGGGGGCTCTTACCGCTCAGGGCTGGCGGGACGCGGCCAGAGGGAACATGGCCGAGCTGCCCCGCCCGC